TTTTTTTGGGTTCAAGAAATGAATCCCTTTTCTAAAACCAAATGCATATGTCAGCTTCAGAGATATGATGATGGAATTTAAAGTGTGTCCCCACAGTAAGAGCCTCAGGCTGAACCTATTATAACATCAGGCAAACAATGAATTTTCCAGGGACCCTCTGCAAACTGGCAGGCTATAAATGATTTAATTCTCAAAGTGGAGGCTCTCAATGAGAATGGTTTCCCATTAGATCCTAACACATCAGTACATATAGTCAACTCTAGCTTCTTAAATATTTGCCAACACATATTTAGCATCACAAACTATGAAGGTATAATGTTTTGTAAACACCTAAATATTTTTTATGAACACTACTAGCATCATTTTTCACATACAAGTATAAACATATAGCTGAAGACATTAAGAGCCTGAATTGGAAAGATTCTAAAAAGAAGGAACTAAATTGTACATACAATTTCTCTTTAGTATGTCCAATAAGTGGGCATGCAATCTACAATGAATCCTAAGATGTGGAAAACTGATTTTATGTCACCAATTGTGATTATGTTTGGGCTGCCCAGTGGACCAGTGGGTAGTACTGCCGCCTTGCAGCAAGGTTCTGGGTTTGATTCCCGGCACATGGGTCTTTTTGCATGGAGTTTGCATGTTCTCCCTGAGCATGTGTGGGTTCTCTCAGGGTACGCCAGCTTGCTATCTTATCCTAAAGCATGACTGTTAGATTAGTTAATTGGCTTGTCTGTGAATGGTTGTTTGTCCTGTTTGTCTCTGTGTTGCCCTGCAATGGACTGCCTCCTGCCCGTAGACAGCTGGAGATAGGGCACCAGTACCCTTGGCCACCCACTTGGGATAACCGTGATGGAAAATGGATGGATGGATGATTGTGTGTTGTATAGATTTTTTGTGTCGTTTAGGAGTGGTCGTAAACAATGGTTGAGGTTCTAATCCATTTAGTTGGAGGTGGTAATGATAGTTATTAAAAAAAAACAGTAATACTAAATATTATTTATGGTGCACCATACCCGAAAGTGTTACAAATCAAACAAACAAAAATAAAAAAACATACAGAATATGTGGCGGCGGTCCATTCCTGGTGTCATTCTACGTCCCCAAAGCAAGTACGTGTGGATCGGGTCATCAAGGTCTCTGCCTCTGAAAGGTGCCCAATGATCTTTGTACTGTTCCCTCATGTTTCTCCTCAGTAAACTGTGGGCCACTGGGGAATGGCCTCATGTCGCTCTGTCACACTAGGCCCGGCCGGGTCCTGCGAGGAAGAATCCAACTACCAGGTGGTTGCTGACAAACTCCAACCCTGGTTAAAGGGCGGGGTCACAGCTCTGCTGTGCTGGGTATTCCTCCATTTCTTCATGGGCCCCTAGCTCTGAACCAAAATGGTTTTGATTATTGGACTTTTGTGCAAATCAAAGGATTGTCCAAAATAAACACTATATTCAAGCATAAGCATGTCCATAGATGCACTTGGCATCTATGGACATGCTAAGCCGGAGTCCGATATTATTGAATCTAAATATATATTCAGATAAATGTTATTCATTAAATTACAAAATTCTGCTTCCTTTTATTTATGGTAACTGATTTGATAAACTAAAAAAGAAAAGGTTTACAAAGGCTACCTATAGGTGAATAACATATCTAACAATTTGTCAAACGTTTCAAAGGACAGATGTTGGTGCTATGTATAATATTTGTCCCAATGGAAAACACTGTGAGCCAGTGCTGTCACTTTCCTATTATCAGGGTGTAGGTTTGGACCTGTCAGCCGCCTTGACTTTTTGCTTTGGTCTACTCCAGATACCCAAATGTATGCAGGTTACAGTAACTAATGTGAACAGGAGAGACAGTGGTTGTCTGTCTCTGTGTGTCAGCTTTTCAATGGTTGTCAGTATAAAGTGTGCCCACATTCAGCTGGAATAATGTTCACTTGAAGAGATGGCTGTGGAATGTGATGGATGGATAAAAAAAAATGTAGTTTAATCTGAGGCATGACTGGAAACGTGTTTAGTGGAATAGAGATGTCTTTCTTGTTATGTTATGACATAGAAACAAAGGAAATGTGTCATAGTTAAAAGAAAATAATACAAAGATATTTGCAAATACTTGCTCCTGTTGCTGGGTTACAGCACTGATCATTTAAATAATCTATGTGATACATTTGTTGAAGGCCTTAGGATCATTACAGGAGCAAAAGTGATTCATAACAAAAAGAAAAAGGAAAAAAACAATGCCTTGTGGAGCCATCAGGATGCATATCAGATGCAACCTTACACCTCAGATACCTCAGGCTGTTAAAAACAACTTTGTTGTCTGTTTAAAATGAGCTACTTTTCATTCTAAGAAAAATAAACACAAAAAGAGAATACAGCCTTACATGCATCTTTGATTTTACAAGCAAGTATTTTTCCCCTTAATTAAAGTTTACTAACTGGCACATACTTTTGTTCTTTAACCCTTTTCTGGGGGGAAATGTGAACAAAAGACTAAGTGCATCCCACTTAAAGAAGATCTTATGGAAAAAGAATTAACTGATAAAGGTTTAGGTGCTTTAATTTTTCATTTGAACAAACTCTTTGAACCCATAACATTATTACGTGTTTAACAAGCTAAAACCAGCTCAGTGCTAATAATTAAATCTTCAACTGAAGAATTCAGAGAGAAACATAAATAAATATAGGACAGGTTGGGTACTTTGAATGCAAATATTGTTGGCATGGATGTCAGTTTTTTGGGGATTTAATTTGTTTATTTTTAGTTTTTGAGAGAGATGGGTTTTATTGCAATCATTAATATAAACAGCAATTAGGTGTGCATAATTAATTTTTTTTCATATAATATTAAATCAAGACAGTCAAAAGTCTATACACATTAACAAACATAAAAATCATTCAAAGCTGCTTCATGTTTTTTATCTTTCTTTTAGCAAATGTAACTTTAACACATGCATTTCGTGTTCATCAGCAAGGTTTTAGGATTGTTTGGTCCGATTTTTGAGCTCTGTTTTTCATCTGCACCTGTGCCTCTAGTAGCAAAACAGACATTAAGAATGATGCAACCTTCACAATGCTTAACAATTAGAACAATGATCTGACTCTCAAAGCAATGCTTCCCTTCATTGACATTAAATAATCCAATCTTTATCTCCTTTAACTATAAAGTCTCCACAAGGCATTTGCCATGTCCAATTCAAATTCTGATTTAATTCCTACTAGTTTACTTATCCCCCCAAAAAGGCTGATTCTGTTTGCAGCTTTCTCTAAAAATACAATATTTTTCTTTATATCTAAATTCTAGATCTAGTCATTTATTTGCATGTATTCATTATCTTCTATGGACTGTTTCTCAGGAAAAAAATGTTTTATACCTTCACTTTTCTTATGCAGACTATCACGTTTGCGTAAAACAAAACTCTTTCCCCTGCTTCATTACATAAAACATTTTCTAGTGCATTGACTTCAATGAAACTCTACATCAGTGTGTAATAAGTGCTTAACATTGTTTAAACAAAAATTGTTGATCATAATCATGAATTGAAAGTAAAGTTAAAAATGGGGCCCCAAACAACAAAGAATATATTATGTTTACTGTTCTTAAGAGGGTAAAATTTATCTGAATGAGTTTTCAGCTGCACAATTAAGCAGAGGAATTGACTATACAGCTTCTGAATTTTTTGTCCCTTGTATCAAGCTTTTTCTTAATATATAGCACTGATTAAGTTGGGCTTCAGTAATATATTTAGAACTCCATCTGCTTGGAAGTAAGAGTAAGATTAATTAAAACATGCTTGCTTCTTAATAGAATTCTGAAAATACAGAGAGAGAAAAAAAACAATTTGGGAGGCACTCTTTTTATGATTTTCTTTACTCAGCCAATTACATTTCATCCTTGGCAGCACTCACTAAAAGCTCGTGGTTGGGTAAGCCAAACTAGATAATTCTCAAATGTATGTATATAGAAACACTGATGAGAGCATTTCAGCAAACATATAAAACACAAAAATGTTTTAATGAACAAGCTATTAGCAATGTTTGCAGTGCTCTGCAAAACTATTTATTGCTCTCGAACTGTTTTCTTATTTTTCACGCATAACAACCACAAACTTCAATGAGGTCATTGAAAAACTATAACGCATATGAACATAAGAAGTGCACAATTTTTAAGCAGCAGGAAAGGATAATTTGTTTTCAAAGATTTTACAAATATTAATCAAAGAATATCTGCTCATGCTTCAGAGAGCCACAATTTACTGTAATTACATCAGTGGATTTTCTGGGATATTTTGTCCTTGTCTATATGTCCTTCGTCAACCCTTGTGTTTGAAATGGTAGTTAAATAAGATTCTTAGCATAAAAGGTATTTGAGTCGATATTGCGATTTGATAAGCAGAATAAGCAGGCTAGTTACTATTTAAGAAGTTTTCAAATCATGTCAAAGATTCACATTTGGATTAATGCTGCCCCACAAAATGATACAGCTAACACTATGATTCATGGCCAGTATGGTGTGTTGCCTCTGTCATTAAATATGCCTTTTTTTGACCAAATAAAACATTCAGTTGGATAATTATGTCAAGAAAATTACACAGAATGACAAAATGTCAAAAGCTTTGACAAGGATTGTGTATATTAAACACACTTTCATGAACCATTTTGTACAAAATAAATATCTTTGGTTGCTTTTTGCTTATAAAGCAGAACTTCACTTTTGGTGACAGACAATAAAATTTTTATTCTAGTCAGAATTTTAGTTGACAGTCTCAGAAAAGTCAGTGATGTTCAGTTTCTATTGGGACCTGATGCCGGTCCTGATTGTAAAAATGTGATATCCTTTTTTTTCTTTTTCATGATGAAGGGCAAAGCACACTGATAGATTTTACACAACCCCTGACAGCCTGAGCTTGTCACAAGAATTTAACACTGCCCTGTGGATTTTCCAGATGGCTGCACCCAGCGGGTTCATGACAGCATCCCCGGAATCAAGCTACTCACTCAAACACTCGTTGGCGGAATCCCCAGTGGCCCTGGCCCAAGGTCTGTCCTGGTAAAAGGGGTGACATCTCTGGCAGTCGGCTCCAACTGTGTGATGTTGGCAGGCACACACTAGGCCACCCTGTTCCCCCTCAACGCACTCGCTGGCATGGCCGTTGCACTTACATCTGAAGGAAAATATAGATACACTTTCAGATCTGCAAGCAGTCTTTCCTGTGTTTTTTCTCAATGGGAATGAATGTGCACACTGTGAATGGAACCGAAACCGGAAGGAAATTGTGAGGGCATTTTCACCATAAAGAGTTGTCACTTCATGTCATCTCTCAAAAGCATAAATGTGGTTTAAGCTGAGGTGGAGTTTTCATTTTCCCTCTGCAACTACACTTTTCAACTTTTTTCATGTGCCACTGGTAATATACTCATACTATGCAAAGGACAGGGAAAATGTAAAATGCACTTAATGGCTTATTTACTTTGAAGTGTCAAACATTTCCACCAATGCATTCCTTGGGGTTCAATGGCTCAGAGTGACATCGGTTCATCATTGTCCGTTCTTAGATGTCTCCTAGAGTTTTGCTATGCTTGCTAAATTCTGATGTTCTTTTTAAAGAGAACTTTAGTTCAACCCGTTGAGGATCAGAGTTTTGGGTTTTTTTTTTTTAGTTATGATGTTGGTTGCTATGCAGCTGGAGGTATTTTTTTGCTTGTATGTTTTCCCTTTTGGACATTTCTTAAGCTGTGGAAACATAGCTCTAAGCAAGTTGTTTTCTTTTAGACACAGGAATAGCTCATTAACATCTCTAAAGCTGCAAAGATACTTCAAATACTTCTGCAAATACCAGCTACGATGAAAACGACACATTGAGGATGTAGAGCATGAGAAAGGAGAAAAGAACAGGAAACTCAAGCATCACTTCCATCAGTCATTACAGTAAAAGTGTGATCTTTAGGAAACCAATTAGAACTCCAAGCCATAACAAGGACCTAACATTAAGGTCGGTAATACAATATTATGCGTTTAACTGGAACATGGCTTATATCTCTGACTCCAGTGTGTCCCTGCCAGGCTTTCAAAAAATATGAGCAGAAATAGATTTAAAGAAGGGTGAAAAACTAGATCCATCAAAGATAGACATGAAGCTTAGTTCAGGGAGCTGGTGAACCAGTTTGTAGCATTTTGAGAAAACACTCCTCCGATCCTCAAAATTAACAATTCGAACAAGATTGTAGTTAATTTCAGAAGGAACATGAACAATTAATCCTACTAACATCACAGGAGAAAATGAGGTGAAGGTGGAGTACTAATACATCGGTGATGGCCTGGACAACAGATTTAATTTGAGATGCAACTCTGCAGCCGTCTACAAGAAGGGACAGAGCAGGAAACACTTCTTGAGGAAGCTTAGGTCCTTCAGCATTTGCAGCAGGCTGCACATCTTTTCCAAGTCTGTTGTGGAGAGTGTGAGCTCTTCTGTCATCGGCTGCTTGAATACCTACATCAGATTTAATGACTTAAAGAAGCTTAACAAGCTGATTTAGAAGATCAGCTTTGTTCTAGGAACTCCTCAAGAACCTCTGGAGAGGATTTCACCACAAACAATTCTTAATCAAATAAAGAACATTTTATGAACAGTGTTCATCCTCTTCAGAAAATTGTAAAACTAAATAGTTTGAAGATTTCTCCATATCACTTGTGAGATAAACTCTTTTAGAAATTCCTTCCTGCCTACAGCTATGAACATTCACCACAACGCGTTGAAAAATAGAGATGAGTTCTTACAACATTTATATTTCCATATAGGATTAGCAAAGTACTTTTGAGTTGAATTCTAATAACTCCTAAACTAGCTTTGAAATATCACTAACTGCTGGCATTTATGGCCTCTTCAAAGGTTCAGAAAAAGCGGCCAGTTATTCTTCAGTGCATAGAAGAATAAGTGGTGTAGTATGTAAACATTTTTAGTACATGCAGTAGGTGTGTGTGGATGCTCTACAAAGGTCGCTGAGCAAATGTTAAGACTTGTAAGGCTGTTTCTCTCCATTAAAACTACCCTATTGTCTTTTCTACAGGCATTTCTTTTTAATTGCAACAGGTTAAAAAAGGAGATTGCATGAAATATATGAAAGTCCAAACACTGCCATTAGTTCTTGTAGATCAACACTTTTTACACCTATTTTTGCATTAATTCCAATTCATCATCCCTCCCTTCTGAACACAACTGAGGAAATAAAGAAACCTATGAAATATAACTACTTTTTAACTTTCACTTTTTTAACTTTGTTTATAGAGGCTGAGACAAACTTGACAACACCAGGCCCCTATCTAACAAGGCAAACCTCAAAAGTATGGAACAAACAAATATCACTTTAATAGTATTTGTAAGCATTTCTAAAAGTGATGCTGCAGAGTTTTAACAAACTGTTGCAGAAGCACCAGCAACACACCCATAAATACATTCTTCAAAAAAGGGTCAAGTTTTTCTCCTAAATATAAATACTTCAATGAATTCAAAGATAATTTCAAAATGATTGAACAAAATACCAGGTTATGAATTTCAGAGTTTGTGGAAGTTTGTTGGAGGATCCAAACACAAAGGTGGAGGCAGAGAGTAGTCCTTGTATATTCACTGAAGGAGGTGGCAAAGAAGCATAAATCCGAAAGGTAACAATCAAGAAATAACAGGAAACAGAATGAGAAACATTACAGGAGGGAATCTACAGAAGGTAGTGAAGACAATCCAACAATGAGTGACTGAAGGCAAGTTGATTGAATAATGGTAAGCAGCTGTGTAGAAAAGGAACTGGAAGGGAACTAAGGAGAGAGGGAGAGTGGCACTAGGGGGTGAGAGAGAGTGAAGTAAAACAGTACTTTTTAAAGAGAGGTGAAGTCTGCCTTGTTTCTCTACAAAAAAAATATATAATTAAAAAATATAACATGAACGTATAACACCTTAACTCACTGTCTGGAGCAAAAGAGCAAAGGACGTGTCACCTTTGTAAGAGACAGGAAAGGGAAAATTAATATTGTTAAAAAAAAACAGCAAAGGAAAATCCTGTGTGCCTGCAAGAGACTTCTGTGATCATAAAGGAGAGAGATGTATTTGCATCCGCCAAAGCTGTGATAATCAAACGAAGCAACATGTTAATATAAAGAAACAATACATCATTAACACCTGACTTCTTTGTGGCTGCATGAATGAAGAAGTCATCCAAATTTTATTTAATGATGAAATTAAAGGTGGTGAATTAATTCTAATTACGTTATAAGCAATAATCAAACTAGAATGATTATATGTCAATAACATTAATAGGGGTGTATTGATTATGACATTTTGTTCATGTTTGTGTAGCCAAAAGGCTAACATGGGAGATGACATGACATTAGCTCATGGGGACATTCAGCAACATTATAAGGAAACAACCAATAGGAGAAATCGCAGGAAGACCTCCACTGTGTCTCTGTGAACCAGTGGAACTATTGCCCATTGCCCCACTCTGCTGAGACACCACACAGTAGCCTACTTGGTGTTTTTAATGTGATTGGTGAAGCAGAAGTCTGATATTTTTTGTGGATTACAATTAGATTTTTTGTGGGATACCATCTGATTAATTTTTTTTTCTATTAATATCAGTTTTTTTGTTTGTTTGTCTTTTTATTATAAACTGATTTTTGTGGATTACAACTGAAACCACTAGTTAAAAAGAATTCTGGATTAAGAGAGAGACTTAGCCTAGGGCCAGGAAGGGATTGTAAACCTGGTATTTGTGAGAATTGAATAACTTCTAAATATCCGAGACTATCATTGAAAGAAGTGAGCCTTTTTACAAAGTTAGCCACTTTGCTTAGGACTCAAAGACACTCATCAGCTCTATCTAATCTGAAGTACAATTTGTCTGTTCCACAATTTCATTTAAAATGCGCCTTTGATAATTAAACAGCTCAGGTAGAATTAGAATAGTTAGTTTATTGGTTTGAGTTCTGCTTAATTCTGTTGTTAAGATTCTGCTATAGTATAAACCAAATCTGGTGGTCGGTAGAAAAAGTAATTTTGAAGGCCTTAAATTAGACTAGGACGATCTAAATAATAATAAACACAGGATGACAAAAGGTGGAAAAAGCCTGGAAAGCCTTAAAATATATATAATACCATGAATACCAAAGGTAATGATAAACAACAATTGCTAGACAAAGAGTGATCTAAATCACAGGGAAAATGCATAAGTTGAAAGACAAGTGAAAAACAAAAATTTGCTTTTTCTTCCAAAATTTATAAAGTTCATTCAAATTCCCAATGTGTTTTGGATGGAAAGATGACTGATGTTACATAATTCCACCTTCACTGCACCATGAAACTGGTGTAGAAATAAAATACTACGCCTTAGTAACACAATAAAGATGTTTACATGCTGTTAGTAGGTTAAATGTCTCCTTGATAAAGTCCACATTTGATGCATCTAAAGGAATGTTCCATAATCATAAGGTATGATTTTAGTTTTCAAAAAAACTCCAGCTGTTTCTTTTTAACAATAATTTGCAGTATATCAGAAACTGTCACTGAAAGAAACAATCCCGTCCACCATTTGTTGACATTTCAGACCTTCCTGTTTCTGTTGATGAATAGCCCTTTGAAATGTCTCATTAAAGAAATGTGCTCTAGAAATAAATGTACCTTGCCTTTTGCAAAGCCACTAGAGCAGCTGGTGATTTTTACCTTTTTCTTCTCATGCACCAAAATTAGCCCTGGCCTTTCACTGAATACCTGCATACTGCCTTATGGACACGTGATGTTAGCAGGGAGGGTTGCTATTTTAGGAGCAGTCCAGCCTTTGTCTCTTGCATCAGAATTACAAACATTGCACAAACGAAGCCATAATGTACTTTAGTGAATTCGCCCAAGGGTGTCATTATTCAAAATAACACAATCCTTTGACATCAAAGTAAACCAAATTGGTGAGATTTTCCATTTGACTAAGGAGTTAGTCTAATATGCATTTTAAAAATATGTTTAGGATCATTGTGGAAGGCATTGTTTTTTTTTTAACGTTACCAACTTTCAAACATGAAATGGTCTCCAAAACACACTGGTTCTTTATTCTACTTCTCACTCCTGCAGCGAAATGTTCCCCTTGTTTCGGGATGAGACAAAATCTTAACGTGAGATCAAAA